GGAGGTGTGCTGGTAACTCTATGGTGTAGGACGGTCCATCTTCGTCGCCCTTGACTTCCAGAACAGGCCACGGCCCTCTATATGTGGGCAGTAACTTCTGCGAGATGTTCTCCTCAGGTGCAAATTCTCTAGAACTAACCCAGACTAAGTCGCCTACCTGAAACTGTGAAGGGCGACGATGTTTGTTCGCTTGCTCTACCATCTTATGCTGGGCTTTCCTGAGGTTCTCGACAACAGTAGCTAGTTCTTTCTCGTGCTGTACAGCAAACTCCCTGGTCCCGGGCGGCAATCTATAAATCTGATCCCGGTTGAGCCCCTCAAACGGTCTGCGTGGTCGAAAGGACTCGTGCAGTTCGTTGGGAGTGCGGCATGTGGACAAATGCACGCTGTTATTGTACGCACTAGCTACTTTGGGCAACATCTCATCCCAGTTAATCTGATCCGGCCTAATATACATGCGCAGAACTTGCTGTAGGATCTTGTTCATTTGCTCTGTCTGACCGTTAGTCTCTGGATGACGGTCGGACGACATCAATAACTTAAACCCATATAGACCCATATACTCCCATGAGTTCTTGCCAGTTCTGGCTGGTGAAGCGACTATCTCTATCGCTAACTATWGACAGCGGGATTCCATTCTCACCAACCCAACAGTCAAAGAATCTCTGTATGACTAAATCAGTACGTGCCTCTGAAGGCAAAGGAACAAAAAACTACATATTTACTAAATCGGTCAACTATGACCATGACTTGGCTCTTGCCATGCCTGCTCTTGACTTGAGTGTCCATGAAATCTATTGACACTGAGTCTCCCGGCTGATCCGGAATGGGCAAGGGTCTGAGAAGACCTAGCGGGGTGCGCGTAGAACTCTTATTACGCTGGCAGACTTTGCAATTGCGAACATACTCTACGCAGTCATTCTTCATCCCTGGCCAGGTATACGCGCGCATCAGATTGGCCAAAGTCTTTTGCCAACCGAAATGACCCTCTGTGTCGTGACATTCCCCCAGAATCAGACTACGGATCTCTTCGCTATTGGGGATGCACAACTGGTCAAAAACATTAGTCTTCTCAAAAAGTAACCCTTCAGCAGCGCGGTAGTTTGGCTCGGTCTCTGGGGCCTCCTTGACTCGCGTGAGGAGCTCATTATAGATAGGGTCCTGCGCATAGGCTTCTCTAACCTTCTGCTGCAGATCCTTTCCTATATCGAGGTAATGTACTATTGCCCCAAAGTAATCTGCTCTCCTACTCAGAGCATCTGCAACTACGTTGTACTTCCCTTTGACAGGCTTGAGCTCGAAGTCGTACTGATCTATCTCTGCGGCCCACCTAGTAAGCTTAGGTGTCATCTTGGCCTGGGTCTTTAACCATCGTAACG